CAGTTGTGACAGGGAACTCATACCTTGACAGGAGGGATGAAAGGCTGGAATAGAGCGAGGTCAGACTTGCCGAGGGAATATTTCACAAAGCCATCAGTCTCATGTAGAAAAAAGCAGTGTTGGTAGAGATGTGACATCCGCTGCCCTGTTTCTCTGTTGGCCCCTCTCCCTCTTGACCAGTGACACAGCAGCAAGGTGTGAAATTTCCACCGGCTACGTGCGTGTGCATGTGTAAGACATCAATAGTGTGTGCTCACAAGAATGTTTTACTTATATAATTGTTTGTTCCTTTTTGTTCCTCTCTTATTTGCCCCCTGCGGTGTGCCAATGAACATGATGCTAAAGACCAAAAATGTGTGAAAATGAAGGTTGAAAATTCACGCACAAAAAAAGACTTTCTCTCTTCCACTTTCTTACTTCCTCGCAAGCTGTGAAATAGTACTAACAAAACATAATCATCTCCATCAGCTACTGAAAATTGGCTATCAGGATTTGATGAGGCACTCAAATATCAACAAAAACAAGATGTATGTGAGATTCGAAAGAGTGGTCGGACTCTTCAGCAGCTGGCTTGTATCTCTAGCTTTCAGTGAATTTACACCTATTTACATTATGTTGAGTAGCCAAAATGGGAAATTCTATATTTGTTGTGTACAGGGGGAGTGATTTATTAATCTGTAATCGAAAAGAAAGCACAATAATTTTTTATAATCTGCAGACTCTGGCACCTGCGGTTGTATTCTCTTTGTTCCTTCTCTCTCGTTCTTTTCCAGGCGCTGTCTCTTAGACCTGTACAGGTTTTCAGGCTCACTGGAGGCATTCCAATTGATCCATCAATTTGGCAAAGCAGCGTGTGTGAAGCATAAGAGTCATTCCCTCGGGATACACGCGAACATACACAGACACGCATGTGCTAATAGACGATCTATGTTGATTATTTGGCTTTCCCGGTCTGTTTTTACCGGCACTATGCCTCAGAGGTGACGCTCTTGCTGTTGGTTAGGTCCTCTGAGTCTTGGTTCCCTTTGTTTTTATATATTGGCCTATATGGTTTTTACCAAACTGTTCAGTGAACCCTCCCATATCATGGTATATTCTCTGCTAGATGACAGTCCTGTTTGTGCTTCCCCTCACTGATTACAGTGCTGTCAGTCACAACCTAATATGGTGCACCAGCGTGTGCATGCATGACTGTAGTCTGTTCTGAGCTCTCTCACACACACACACACGGAAAAATCATTACTTCCTATATGCATACACATACAACCGAAGCCATATAGGTGTCAGCTAAAAACAAGATAATTAACTGTAAAATGTTCGTAAAGTCTGTGCACTATAAATCAAATGAAGCACAGCATTGACTAATCAACAACATGATATCTACAGTATGCCCATATCCTTATGGGTCTTGCAAGCTCATTAAAAAGCGACGAGCTTACTTGCATGATCTAGATGATGTGACGCAACTAATTAAAAGGTGCCACACTGTAAGGTCTCAATTTGCTGATGAGCTAAATCAGGACATTCTCTTTCAGGGTTGAACGATCTCAGCACTCATGATTGACATTTAAGATAAAAACAATGGTGTTTCTGCATATATACGCGACAGATACAGGCACTGTTCTTCTTGCGGTTATCTAATCAGTTGCTCTGTCTTCTGTCTTTGTTCTCTTTTCCTCTCTGTTTTCTGGCATCTGCCTCTCTTGCCGTCCATCCAACCCCTCTTGTCTACTTGGGGACTCCAGTGATGGCTTCAAAAGGCAAAGTTCGAGGTGAGTTATGGCTGCGTTTCCCTGCTCTGCCTCTAACTCAGCCTGACAGAACTAACAGCAGTAGAGTGAAACTGGATTTAGTTTTTTATTCCAAATAATTGACTGATGCTTCAGTTTGTTCTGAATTCTCTTGTTTTAATGTTTCTGTTTGCTTAATTCCCAAACAGTCACATTTTAATCTTTTGATGGAAGGTAGTTTTTAAATTGGCAGGGAGGTTTTTAAGGTTTTTTGTGATACAGCAATTTAAGCTTTTCTTTCAGCTTTCAAACGTGCTGTTTTGTTTTTATGGGATTTTAGTATGCATTGTTTACTCGTCATTACCAAGTCAGTGGGAAACGTGACTGACAAAATGGTTTGCTTGGCATCAGAATGTGTCTTCTGGTTTTAAAATGGCAGCATCCTCATATTATAAAGCTCATCTTAGTGTGTTGATAGTGTTTTTCATTTTTGGCAGTAAATTATTCAAGCTCATAAACACTGAAGAGGACGGTCCGAGGTCATCAGATTAATAATTGAGTATTTAATTGTCTGATATTGCCCTTTACTATTGCCAGACTCTGGAAAGGTGGCAGTAAATTACAGTGATCAAAATCTTCTCCATCATTCCCTGTGTCTGCAGGATGGCTGTGAGAGCGGATTATAGATCAGAGAGAGGCAGAGAGGAGAGGCAGAGTGTTTATTTGAGAGGAGATAACCTGATTTCATTCAGCTGTGTGCTTCAGTAAATATGCCTCTCAAAACTACGAATTTAGTCAACCAGGACTGTAATCTCTTTCTGTTTAGTTACCATCTTTGGCTAATGATTAGAGAAGCAAGGGTCACATCCTGTGCAGAAAAGACAAACAAACTTGGCATGTGCACAAATCGTTAATTGTATTAACAAATAATTGGTCAATTGTGATTATTGGTGGACGTGATAAAGTTATAAAGCATTTTTATTAAAGAATCTGAGCCAAACTTAAAAATAAAGGTATAGCACAATATGTGTTTGCATGTGGAGTTAATATTTTGGAAATAATCAGAATAAGAGCCAATCAGGGTAAAGATATCTCGCTTAAACACCTTGATCACAAGTGGCCCATCTAGACAAAAAAATGTATTAGTCGAAAGAAAAAAAGTGTAAATGATCTTTCCAATTACTTTCTGTTTTTAGAAAATCTAAATTCTTTCTGCACATGCTCATCCAATGGAGTCTAAAGTGTTCCCCTGGGAAGACGCACCACACTCTCCTCCATTGTTTGTCGTTCATGAGCACTCCACCACTTTTCCGTGTGGTGCATTATTCCCAGGGGACCAGTATTTAAAAAAGGTATGTTAACTAGGATGATTCTAAATCCTAGTGGGTAGCTGGCCTTCTGTTTAATAACTGTAAAAACTGATAAAACTGTTGCTTTTGTACAGAGAAGCAACACTAAACCTACACAGGTATTCTGTATTTCAAGTCCTTGAAGCAAGGTTCATTGTTTTCAAAAGGCTGATTGTTGTGGAGTGATAGATTTAGTATATTTATCATGTCAAAACCCTAGTCTCCATTTTCTTCCTCCTCCTTCTTCTCATCCTTAGCAACATCATTGGTAATAACAGCATCAACATCACATGTTTCCCCTTTACAGTTCACTATGCAGGGTTTCCTCTTTTTCCTGCTGCGTCTGAATGCGTAACTCATTTTAACTCTCACTCTCCAGGAGCATGTGTTTGACTGTAAGATCTCCGTCTCATTCACTGTTGACCCCCTCCTCTCTTTAAAGGCCACTCTTACCTGGCTGTCATCCTTTTCTATCTTACTGTGACAGTATAGAAAATCCATTGCACTCTTAATAGGGGAACAGAGGGTGTGTAGATCAGAGTCAAGCACATGTCTCCCTCCTGCCTCTCTCGCCAATATAATGAGGCTGTTGGTAGGAAAACATAACAAGCCAGATAAGATTCATGCTGATCAGTGGGCAGATAAAGGCTCAGTTCACCTCAAAGCACTAGTTCACCAGTTAATGTGTGTACGTGGCAGAGACATATGTATGTGACTGAAGGACTGAGTGACTGGTTAAGGGTTCCTATTGCATATAGTCATTTGTACTGTATATGTGTATATAGTGCAGCCAATCAGTACAGCACCAGAGATTAATTTACCTGTCCATATATTTTTTTCCTTTTTTTTCCTAGCAAAAGATTAAATCAGGGTTATTTTTAGAAAATGTGACAACATAATGGTGTCAGTGTCAAATGAGTGCAAATGAATATGAAAAAGGACCTTATTAAACATAACTCACATATATGGCACCTGTACAGCGTGTGTGTGTGTGTGTGCAATTGTGGGCACAAAACACAGTTTCTGGGGTGCCTGGTTATCTGAGTCGGTAGAGCTGGCATCCCATATATGGAGTTGCTACAGCGGCCCGGGTTCGAATCCGACCTGCGGCCCTTTGCTGCGTGTCATCCCCTCTCTCTCTAA